CCCAAACCCCCCCCCCCCCCAAACCCACATACCAAACAACCCCTAAAAGACGTATAATGTCTCCTTTTAGTGGTTTACACTTGTGACCGGCTAAAACCAGAAGTAAGCGAAATGCTTGCTTAGGGCTCCCAAAAATTGAGGAATTTTAAATTATATTTTGATCTTTATAACATAAGTGAATTTGGCTCAAGAATATCTATATAATAAAGTAGTTTGTAATTCAAATCTCAAAAGATAAACAAAATGACTTTTATTATTCGCGGTTAAAATCATTTGAAATTTTACTTTAAAGTTAATATTAACACCATAAATTTAATAGAAAAAATAGGTTTCTAAGGATGTGTTTAAAATAACTTTTTAAAAACATTTTTAGAAATTATTTCTCTTAAATACTTAAAAAAAATAGTGTTTGAAACCTCCTCTCCACCTCCACCGTCGCCGCCACCACCTTCACTACCACCACCACCACCACCACAACCGCTACCACTGCCACTACGGTTATTGCCAACCACCACAATCATCACCGTCTCTTACCACCACCACTGTCGTCCATCACCTCTCACCTCCACTATAAACCGATGTTTAAATTTNATCATCACCGTCTCTTACCACCACCACTGTCGTCCACCACCTCTCACCTCCACTACAAACCGATGTTTAAATTTTTTTATCTCTTCTCTATATTTGTGATTTGATTTTGAATATGAATACAAATATATTTATTGTTTACCATTTTTTATTACTTTGTGCCTTTAGACACATGCAATAACTAGTCTATATAATAAAGTAGTTTACAATTCAAATCTCAAAAGATAAACAAAATTACTTTTGTTATTCGCGGTTGAGATCAATTTAAATTTTACTTTAAAGTTAATCTAACAGTTAATATTAACACCCTAAATTTAATAGGAAAAAAAGGGCCCTAAGGATGTGCTTAAAATTACTTTTTAAAAATTATTTTTTATAAATATTTTTTTAAAAAATAGTGTTTAAAACCAATCCATCTTACCTCTACCCCCACCACCACTACCACTATTGTCGTCGTCGCTGCCACCATCATCGCCGCCGCCACCATCGTCGCTACCCTCACTGTCGTCATTGGTGCCACCACCACCATCCCCATTGCCACACCACCGTTGCCACCACTGCCACCGCCACCAACACTGCCGTCACCACCACTGTCATTGTCACCCACCACAACTATTACCGTCTCCTACCACCACCACTGCCACCCACAACCTTTCACCCCTACNTATTAACACCATAAATTTAATAGAAAAAATAGGTTTCTAAGGATGTGTTTAAAATAACTTTTTAAAAACATTTTTAGAAATTATTTCTCTTAAATACTTAAAAAAAATAGTGTTTGAAACCTCCTCTCCACCTCCACCGTCGCCGCCACCACCTTCACTACCACCACCACCACCACCACAACCGCTACCACTGCCACTACGGTTATTGCCAACCACCACAATCATCACCGTCTCTTACCACCACCACTGTCGTCCATCACCTCTCACCTCCACTATAAACCGATGTTTAAATTTTTTTATCTCTTCTCTATATTTGTGATTTGATTTTGAATATGAATACAAATATATTTATTGTTTACAATTTTTTATTACTTTGTACCTTTAGACACATGTAATAACTAGTCTATATAATAAAGTAGTTTACAATTCAAATCTCAAAAGATAAACAAAATTACTTTTGTTATTCGCGGTTGAGATCAATTTAAATTTTACTTTAAAGTTAATCTAACAGTTAATATTAACACCCTAAATTTAATAGGAAAAAAAGGGTCCTAAGGATGTGCTTAAAATGACTTTTTAAAAATTATTTTTCATAAATATTTTTTAAAAAAATAGTGTTTAAAACCAATCCATCGTTACCTCTACCCCCACCACCACCACCACTATTGTCGTCGTCGCCGCCACCATCATTGCCACCATCACCATCATCGCCGCCGCCACCATCGTCGCTACCCTCACTGTCGTCACTGGTGCCACCACCACCATCCCCATTGCCACACCACTGTTGCCACCACTGCCACCGCCACCAACACTGCCGTCACCACCACTGTCATTGCCACCCACCACAACCATTACCGTCTCCTACCACCACCACTGCCACCCACAACCTTTCACCCCTACTACAAACGGATATTTAAATTTCTTTATCTTTTATCTATATTTATAATTTAATTTTGGATATGAATACAAATATGTTTATTGTTTATTATTTTTTATTACTCTATATCTTCAGGCAGAACAATAACTAGGTATGTAATAAAGGGTCAAAAAATATACGAAATCTTAGGGTTTGTGTTTCAAAAATAATTTTTTGTTCTTAAACCAGTAAAAACTAGAGAAATATTGTTTGGTTAGAAATTTTCAAAAATAATTTTTCAAAAACAAAAGTGGTAATTGAGAACCAAAACTAGAGAAACCTAAACCAAGTTCTCTCAGTTTTCATGTTA